CATCGGACTCTGGAAGGCCTTTGCCTTCCATGTTCCAGGCTGGATCAGCACCTTCTCTACTCCCCCTCCCTGGGAAGGCATTTCTTCCTGCCCCCCCTTCTTTTCCAGGTCACCCCACATCCCAGTCTCTATCCTCACCAATCTTCTCCAATCTTGTAAACATAGATGATGTTGTCGGTCTGTCCTATGGCAATTTTAGTGGAATCAGGAGAAAAAGCCATGCCCTTTACCATATAGCTCTTCCTGCCATACTAAGTTAAAAAAAAAAAAGAAAGAAAGAAAGAAAAGGAAAAGAAGTAATGAGTACACATGGAAAAGAAAAAAGGGGCATGTGTGACTTAATGGGCTTGAGGGATTTATCCTGAGAAAAGAAGGGGCAGGCCACTTCCTATGCTTATGGCTGGAGAGTCGGTTAGGAAGAATTCCAGGTTCATAAGGCCCCAGTGGCAAGCTCAGGTACACAGAGTACTCTCTTCACCTTCATGTCAGCCGGTTTGGTGGAGAATTTATCTCTCCGCTCTCCATGTTCATCATACAGCAATACCACCCGGTCCACTGTGCAGACAGCAAATTTGGCATTGTTCTGGGACCAAGCCATGCAGGTCACCTTTGCAGCTCCATCCTGCAGTGGCAGCGGGGGCAAAAAATAAACCCAGGCGCTCGTTTAGAATGGCAGAAGCATTTCTAGTTCCTTTAGTTCTAGCGCGACTTCGGTCAATTTTCCTCAGCATAGTACTTAAACCAGAGATGCCTGTGATGCATGCTGGTCTCCAAGGCTATAAAACCCTGGACCAGGAGAACAAGGTGTTTCTAGAAACCCATAATGCAAACATGCTACATCAATTGTACCAATTTGCCCTGCAATGGCCTTGTTTCCTCATATCTCAGGTCTGCTATGGAAATAAATTCAATTGGTCCGATAAGTTTTGGTCTTTAGCCACATATATATATTTTTTGAATACCCTATTGAGAAAGGTGGCTGGCCAGGGGATGAAAGGAAGACAAAGAGCAAAATATGGTCCCTGTCCGAGGCAACAAGATGGAGCAAAAACAGGAAAAGCCCCATAAAAGCGGCACATAATGAAGCACAATAATAATTTGGAGAAGCTTGAGAAAATTTTATGTTTAAATGATCAACTTTAAGCTTTGAAGAATGGATCCACAAATGGGGAACTAATGACCAAAGGCAAGTCTGGCCAAGAAACAGTAATTTGATTTAGCTGAAACTATCTTGCAAATAAAGTAGAGGAGATAAGGCAAGAAAAACAGAGTGAGATCAGCTCAGGAAAGGTCTTCGAAGCCTGGCCATGGAGTTTGGGCTTAATTGGTAGGAAAAGGAGATATGGTGAAAGTTCCAGAATGGGGAGTAAAATAGATAATCAGAGTTGAGACTTAGGATGAACAATGCCACCTGGTTAGTTTTTGCGTTCCTCCCTCTCCACCCCTCGAGGACTTAACAGAAGCCCAAGTTAGTAGTGATCCTCTCCCAGTGACTTATTCTCGCCAGGTCTGTCCACCACCAGCGTTGGTCCTCAATGGTTCTGCACTAAGGACTTCCCTCCTTGGAATAAAAAATTTAGCTTCTGCTCCAATTATGTGATTAATTACTTGGGTTCCTGAACTCTGGTTTAAAACTTCTGTACTTTTCACTCCTAACCCACCTACTTCCAAAGTAAAAGGTTAACAACAACAACAACAAAAAGGTCCATTTTCATCAAAATCCTCAAACCAGAGTCAGAAAGGAGCCACCCGCCACCTTTACTGCGCTCCAATTCTTGATTAAATTAGGTTCAACAACCATTGCTCATCATCTTCCTTCATCATTTTGCCCAAACCTGGACCTCTGCCCTTCCCTGCATCATGACATCTTATTTTGAAAGACTGAAGGAGGTTTTCATTTCCAATTATTCCACTAGGGTAAAGGAATTTTTTAATTACAGTTTCAGGGGCAATTTAGTGAGCAATGAGCACCTCTCTCTTTCATCCCAATTTCCTCCTACTGCTATGCCACATACTCTGTGAAGCCTTCCTGATTCCTCACAGCACTGTCACGAGGATGAAATGAGGTAGGGAACAGAATAACTAACCATCAACAAGATCTTGCCATAGACTAGGCATTTTGATAAGTGTCCGATATGCATTACTTCATTTAGCTCATAACGCTGAGACAGTTGCCATTATTCTACTTATTTTACAAATGGGGAACCTGAGGTTCAGAAAGGTTAAGTAATTTGCTCAACCTTACATACACAGTTTATAAGCGGCAGAGCCAAGACTTAAATCCGTGTATGCTGGACTCCACAAAACACAATCCTAACTTCTTAACTTATGCAGCCAGGCTACCTATTAAACATACACTGAGGCAGTATTATTATTAGCTTTGTATAATTTTGTCCTTTAAATTTTGCATGTTCTCCTCTCTTCTCCATCAGTTTTTACACTGCTTCTCAGTTTACCGTGGACTTTGTGTACATTACTTCAACTCTTCCTCCAGATCCCCTAAGGTTGCTTTTATTGTTACTTCCATTTTCCAAATGAAATAGTTGGGTGAGTGTTCAGAGAGACTGTGGCCTGGGCTGAAGTCAGCGGTATTGGGTCATTTATTTAAAAAGTACAGCTGGCCCTAGGACTTAAATTCTGGTCTCCTATCTCCCAAACCCAGCCTTTTTTCAGCATGGTTTAGGCTTCCTCCCCCAGAGCCCAGCCTCTTCTGAGTCTGGGATCTTCATCATCAGCAGGAACGTATAAGGTCTTCTACACTCCCTCTTTGGGGCTTGCACCTAAAGCGTTTGTTTATTTGGGTGCAGATTTATGTTCGTCGTTTACATGTGCGCCCAGCACGGGGCCTGGAACACAACCGATGCTAAAGGAAACGGAACGAAAGCTACTGAGGTTAGCGATACTGAACGCTATCGACCGCGCACAGTCGAGATCATCGCTAGAGCCTTCAGTCTTCCGCGTACAGTAGGCGCTAAACATCATTAAATTTCAGTTGCCTCACTTTTCTTGGAACGTGAAGGCGGGCGGGGGCGGGAAGAGGCACGCAACTGCTCACCTGAGGGCTCAGCAGGGTCCTCAGGTGCTTCAACTGCATGACGAACACCTGTCTCGCAGATGCCACCAGGCAGCGACAACTCCCGTGGTTACCTGGACAACCCGCCACGTAGCCGCAGCGACTGCCGCTGACGCAGATGCGACCAGAGCGCCACACACTTCGCAAGGTCACCACGTAGGTTCACGGCGAGGCAAACAGAACGTGCGCAGGCGCAGTGAGATCTAGGGCGGGACTCCGAGAGGAATTGAATCCTCTCCCCAACCAATCCCGTCGTTGCCTTCAAGCCCAGGCTTAAGCCACGCCCACAAGTCCTCAGCAAACTCGGGATCCGACGTAATCGCAGTCTTTCTCGCGCCTTCGTGTAAGTGTACCTGAGTGCATTCTTTTAATCATCACAACGCTGATGGAAAGCAGGGCAATTGCTTTCATAGGCCTTTTGCAGCTGATGGAACTGAACCCGAGTACGTTACGTGACTTGCACGGGACCACAAGGCTAATAATGATAGCTAACAGTGAATACTCAGCGTGATATCTGCCAGGTATTGTGCAAAGTGTTGTACATGCATTATCTCATTTAATCTCAAAGCCACTTTTTGAAGACGATGATATCCTTAGTCCCATTTTACATAATAGGAGGCTCAGGATTAGCAGGGTTACTGACCTAAACTAATAATAAAGGATGTATGTAACTGGGATTCAACCCAGAGCTGGTGCGTTTAAACACCCTTATATCCGTTCTGAACTCCTGGCTCCCTATCTCCATGCCATACCTCTAGACCCTATGCCACCCCCATCTCAGGAAATGATGTGTCCAGAATCTGAGAGATGAGTGTTTTGGAACCAGTGGCCAGTGAGAGGTAAGGTACCCTACTTCAGAATTGGGGAGCAGTGGATTAAAGACTGCTGCCCAGATCAGGATGCTTCTTTAGTTCAAGGCAGAGGGTAAACCGGAGCTTGGCTCACCTGATAGGTTAAGGTTAAGTCTTGTGATACCGGGAGTTGGAGCTTGGTTAAGTAGAAGGGATATTGGCTTCTTGATCTCTCTTGGGATCGGGGTTCCTTTCAGAATTATTGGCTTAAATTCTTGTAATATATCAGAGAGACTGAGATGCAGAGAAGGAGAGTTATTCATATACCTCCTCTGGAAAGATCCCAAGTTGAGAAGACCCGTAAGTCTCCAGAAAGTGTAGCATATGCTGTCTACACCAGTTCTGGGTTCTGAAGTCTTTCCCCCACAGTGGATGCAAACGCCCACAGCTAGTTCTCTCACGGGCACCATCCCCCCTATTTTTACAGGAATCAAATAGCCCCAGAGCCCAAAGTAGAAGTCTTTTGACAGGGGGTTTCCAACCCCTCAGTTTTATTTCCATAATCCTCCTCTGAACATAGTGGCGGAGAGTGAATATAAACTCATTTACACTTCACAATCATTGACTTTGACAGAACGAGCAGAGACAGACAGGAGGGAAAGTGAGGGGAGGGAAGAAGTACAGGAATGCATAGGATAGGAGCACGTGGCACCAAGGGATCTGTTAGGGTAGCTGCTCTTTCGTTTGTCCCAAGACGCTGTTCAGTCCTGTTCTGAAAATTAACTCATGGGTGATGGAGGAATCAGAGGGATAAATGGGGAAGAGCTTGGGTATCAGTGTGGGCAGGGAACATAAAAAGGTTACTGGCCCTCTCATGTGGTATCACCTTAGTTTCCACTGATACAGAACTTACATCCCCTTCTTTACCTTCCCCCCTTCTCACTAAACAGAACAAAAGGAACTAGGGCTCTAGTTTTCTAACCCCATTTCTGGCCTCTCTCTCTGGCTAGAGAGTCAAACACCTTAAAATGATAGTGTTCTTGTGGAGTTGGTGGTGGTGTGAGAGGCCCTTGTTGTCAGGAGAGAGCAGTGGGGAAATGTCTTCAGCATACTATATGGTATACGATACAGTCAGCTCCAGTTTGTCCAAGAACCTTTATTGGAAAAATGTCCAAGGGGTGAGATCACCAGCAGCTGGAGGGGCTACCAGGTGAGAGGGGGAGCACCTGAGGCTCCATGGAAGACATTGGAGTAGTGCAGTGCGGCATCTGCCTCCGGACTCAGACAATTTCTTTTATTTGCTGGGGGAGGGGGAGTCCCCAAAGCAACACCCCTCTCTGAGACCCAGAGGCAAGATGTGGGGGCAGCTGGGGATGCCGAGAGTCCTGATGCAGGTGAAATGGGGGCCCCGTTTGGGACCTAATGGGATACAGTTGAATAAGTGACTTTCCCCTGGACCTGGGGGATGGAAGGACATATCCCATCTGATAGCCATTCCCCAGGTCCAGGGGTGCAGACCCTAAGAGACCTACCTTCTGGCCCTGCTCACAGTGGAAAGAGGATGGGTACCAGGCCTGAGGTTGTGGGAGTGTCATTACCCTCTAGGAGACTGGGATCCTTCAGTCTTGGGAAGATCACCATCTGGGGCTCTTCCTGACCCCATCCCCACCCCCATCCCCAGGTTGCTTGTGCATCTGTTTTCTGGTTCTGTTTCTTCACTCATACATCGATGGTGTTGATGGATGGTGACTTTTTCTGTAAAAGAAAATAGCTTGAGTCTCTAATTGTGGCACAGTAATAGCCTCCTCCATCCCAAATATGCATTCTCCTTCTTTTCCTGCCCTTCCTTGGCCTTCTCCCTTTCCATGGCTGCTCCCATAAGCAAAATCACCTTTTCCTCCCTCACAGACCCCACATCACCTGTCTTGTCCCCACTGGCCTTCCCTGCGGACTCTGTTCCGGCCCCTTCCCCTTCTCCTTGGGGTTGTTGTTGGAGTCATTGTCCTTGATGATATCATACTGACGGCAGAATAGCCCAATTACAGCTGAAACACAACAATACAGTCTGAGCTGTGATCTTGACCTCCCCACTCACAGCATTAAAGGTCAGTGAGATACTCATACAGTTCCTAGAAAATCCTTGAATTCCTGGTGCCCATGTGCAAGCACCACCCTCTTAATCTTCCTCTCCTCCAACTTCTGTTCACCCCCCTCAACTAAGAATGTCCCCGCTCCATCTCTCTCCCTGTCTTTCCTCCTGACAATCTTTACCACCTCCTGCCTTCACTGAACCCCCCAGGCCCCAATCCTTGACCCCTGTCCAGCAGCTTACTCACCAGCCCACATGAGCAACACCACCACAATGATGACCACTTCCCCCGTCTGTAGCGGTCGCTCTCCATCCAGACCCTCCACTGTGATGTCACCTAACAAGGAGGAGATAGACTCCAGATTATGGGGGAGCAGCTGCAGAGTTCTTCTATGCTTCTGGGCACTGGTGTCAGGGTAGACCCATCACCAGGTTGTCCCTGGTAGCCTCTCTCTAGGAAGCTACTGGTGGACAGGTAGTTAGAGACCAAAAAGCAGGAGGGCGGCAGGCGGGTACTCACGCAGGCTGTGGTGGAGGATGTGAACTGAGGATGGGTAAAAGGAAGCTTAAAAGCCCTCCCCCCAAATGATTCATTATCAGCCTGCCTATATCCAGTCCCCTTTTTCCTTTGTTTCTTGGCAGTATGATGAATTAAATCATCCTTTTATTCATCTAAGCCTGACTGTTGCTGGTTTGGGGGAAATAAACAAGAGGCTAAAGGCCAGGTAAAAGGCCAGAGAATCCAAAGCTTTAGAGAGTGGAGAATAGCTGAGATCCTCACCTGGGCTTGAACTGTTTGAGGGTAGCCGGTCAGAACCCTTGAGAGTTCGGAAGTGCACCCGAGGCCCTGGGGGGCTCTCTCCCCGAAGGCCGATGCTCCTGACCTGCACTGTGTAGTCGCTGTCTTCAGCCAGGCCCCAGAGGGCACAGGCCCGAGTGGTGGTGTTCACCTCCCGGATCACACGCTGTCCAGGGCCATTCTGTCTCTGCAGGGAGATGATGGGACAGGAAGGCAGTCTCACACCGGTCCCAGGACTCTTGAACATCCAAGCACTCCACGGAGTAGGGTGAAAAACGCAGCCTGAGCCAGGAAACACCAGCTCCCAGATTCCCCCACCACTGGGAGGGGAGCTTAGGTCCGGGGTGGTGGTAACCGAAGGAATGTTCAGAGATCCAAGGACACAGGTTGAGGGAGCAGAAGGGTGATTCATACTTGCTGGGAAATGGAGTAGCCAATGACGATGTTGCCTTCTGGGACGTCCCAGGACACAGTGGCCGAGTTGGCTCTGAGGTGAGTGACTGTCACATTCACAGGAGAGGGAGGCCGGTCTGTGGGTGCCAGTGAATTAACAGGTTAAAAGGAACCATCCACAGACTAGCTCTGGTTAACCCCACGCCCCCTTTACTCACCTGCTCGCACAAAGCCCAGGTCACAACTGACCAGCAGGAGGACCGTGGGGCTTAAATATGGGGAGAGGGGCATCAGCGAAGCCATGGTCCCCACCGAGTCCGCTGGGAGGCACTGGGGCATCCGCTTGACATCCAGGCGGGGCTCCTGGAGGTGGCAGGAGTTTGGGGGGGGGGGTCAAGGACTGCCCAGAACGCACGGTGGCAGCAGCTCTCCCGGGCTCCCCACCGCCCACAGCAGGCCGGGAGCCCCCCTTCTCTCCATGCCTTCTCCGCCCCCGCATCACCCGGGCACCCCCAATGCGCGGCTCTGCCCTGCCCACACCCACCTCCGCCGGTCCTCGCGGTCGGTCAGGCCTCAGGGGGCTGCTCGGTGCCCAGAGGGCGGCCCATCGCCCGACTCTGTGGCGCTGCCCCTACCCCATCCCGGCGCGGGCCCGGCGCGGCGGGCAGCGCGGGACCGAGCGGCGGGCAGAGGGCGAGCGGAGGCGTAGCGGGAGCCGGCCGCGGGGCTGCGGGGCCCCCCAGAGCTCAGACGGGCCGCGTAGTCTGTCCCCGAGCAGGGGGCGGTGCCGGCGCGGCCTGGCCGCTGGCCTGAGTCCCGGTGCGGGAGGCAGTGCGGCTGCTCCGCCGGCCCCTGCAGCGGGATGTGACCGTCCCGGCCAGCCAGCCGCCGCCTTCTGCAGAGCTGGCCCCGCTCGCTCCGCCGCAGCCCGACCGGGACGTGCCGGCCCGCCCCGCCCCGCTGGGGTTCTCGCAGCCGTCATCCCCCGCCTGCCCACCCCCCCGCCCCCGACCCCGTTCTCCCGGGGCTCCTCCCACGACCCTCCCATTGGCGGACTCCCGGGTCCCCATCCCTCTGATCCTGGCCTCGGCCCGGGAGCCTGCGGGGGCGTGGGGAGAGGCGCAGGTGTGAGGGTCTCCGGCACCTGGGAGGGCCCCTCCCTCCCGCGCTGGAATTCAAGTGGGGAGGAGGAATTCCACCTCCCGTGCGGGAGGGGATAGCGTGGCGGAGATAATTGTTTTAACAATCTCCTACTTGTAGACTGCGTCAGCTTTTAAATCTCTTCCCCATTCATAACCTGATATTGATTCTCTTCACTCTCTCATTCATTCTTTCATTTATTAAACAAATATTTATTGAGCGTCACCTATGGGTTCTGGCGTGTTAAGAGCTGGAGATACAGTGACTCTTAAGGTTGCCGGGTGTATATGGGGGAAATCTAAAGAGTAGCGACCTATGGCTCTTGTCTTATCTCTGCCACTTACTGCTTGGCTGGAGAAATTGGTCCTCTAAGTCTCAGGTTTCCTACCTGCAAACTCAGAGGGTCCAGGATCTCATAGGGCTGTTGGGAGGATGGAATGAGAAAATGCTGGGGAATGTCTTTATGAATCTTACAACACTGTGTGAGTGAGAGATTATCATCAATTTGTACTGATCTGTTAGTTACTTCACTCATTCAACAAACATGGAAATCCTTGTTATTTCATGAGATCTGGAGCGACAGCCTGGGTGTGAGTTCCAATTTTGTCAGCTATGTGATCTTTAGCAAAGACAACTTATCTGAGCCTCGGTTTCACCGTCTGAAAAATGAGGGTGTCAATACAATCTTCTTAGTGTTAATGTATCCAATGAGATAAAGTATGTGAAAAGTGCGTTGTTCAGTGTAAATAAATGTTGGCTAATGTATTTAGGGCAGATACTTTGGTTTCTAATTCTCATTGCAGCATTTCTATTTCTGTGGCACTTTTTCCCCTGTAATATCCAGTTCAGTGTGTGTCCCCCTGGGGCTCTGAAGCTTCTGTTGCCTTCCTTCTGAGATGAAAGAGTGAAATGGGGCAGGAAGGAGGACTGTGTGTTCTGAGCATGTGATCAAGCTATGGTCCAGGTCCTCTGACCTCTGCTGTCCCTGAGGACCCTGATCTCTGGCCGCCTGATGCATCCTGGTCCCAAAGCACTCTTGCTCAGGGATTCTCACTGCCCTGGGCTTGAGCCTGAGCCTGGGTATTATCCTGAACTTCCAGGCTCCAGGCCCTCTAGAGAAGAGGTCATTGTGTCCAAAGGTCAAGAGTAATGAACCTCAGGTTTTCCTCTTTAGGAGCAAAGCAGAGGCTGGACAGTCTGCATACATGCAAAGAGGGACCCCAGGAGCTCCCCTGAGGTGACCAGTGGACTGGGGGCCTACTGACCAGGAAAGGGTGCAGGAAGAGGTGCTCTGAGGGGGTGGTACTCAGAGAGGCCAGGGTACTTGGGTTAATCATCACTGTGGCTCAGATAAGGCCCTGCCAGCTGGAAGCAGAGTTAGAGTGACAGAAGGGTTTGTGTGGCTGAAGAGGCAGGCACAACAGGGTGTTCACAGCGTGCGACCATGCCAGGCACAAAACGTTTTCAACATGTGATTGAGACCCCAGAGCCTGGCAAGTGGGAGGTGAGACTCCCTTCTCCATGTTGGTCTTCTGCATTGATTCCTAGAATAATTTCTTATCTGGACTTTTCTCCACCCTTGTTTTTTGTTCTCCTCCTCCTCCTTCCCATCTTCCTTCCTGATCTTCTTCCCCTTATAGGCCCAGAGTACCAAGTGCAGGCTGAATCCCTGGGTGCTGTGTGTGTGTGTGTGTGTGTGTGTCTCCAAATACGGTGCCTGCTGCCACTCCCACCTCCGGATCAGGAGGCATGAATGAGGCTTTGGCTTCCTGCCTGTATCCTTGTGGCCCCTTCCCTCTAGTTGTCTGGGTATGAGGCAGCCCTGCCAATCACAGAGAAGTCAAACCCACTGACCCAGGACCTGGACAAAGCAGATGCTGAGCAAATTGTTCGATTGCTGGGGCAATGTGATGCTGAGATCTTCCAGGAGGAGGGGCAAGTCATGCCCACGTACCAGGTGACCCAGACCCATTCCCTGGACACGGAAAATAGCAATGCCAACCCCAACTGCACTTAACCTCTGCTCTACCAAACCATAGTCCTTAATATTTGAAACCCTGAAAGCCCCTCCACCCCAATATCAATAGCCCCCCCACCCCAATCCACTGTCTTTTTCTTGACTTCTGATTCCTGTGTGTTCCTGATAGCGACTGTATAGTGAATCGATTTTGACCACCATGGTACAAGTGGCTGGAAAAGTTCAGGAAGTGCTGAAGGTACTGACCCTCCATCTGCTCCTCTCCACCTTCTGTTTCCTCCATCTCTCTCCTTTTCTTGGCCTCCACTTCTCATTTTGCTAGATCTCAGTTCTCTTCTTCCTAGTCCTCCCTCTGGGATCTTTATTGCCATCTTACTAATCAACAGTAATTATAATAACTATTATCGGCATAATACTTTATAATTGACCATGTACTTTCACACTCATTACCTTTGCAAAAACCTCTGAAAGTTGTGTGATTGTCTCCTTTTTTTCTTCATATAGGAAAACAAAGAATAATCACAGTAGCTTGCCCAAATATATCCAGCTAATAATTGCTGGGTAGCGCTACTTTATTGATTGATTGGTTGATGAGAAAGCTGGAATAAGTAAGGGTTTGAATAAGTAGTTAAGCCAGAGTTAGCTACTGGCTGACTTCAGTTTCTTTCTCAAATCCAGGATTTTTTCTGCCACACCATACTGCCTATGTTCTGTTCACTTTTGTCGTAAGAGGCTTAAGCAGACTCCCTAATTCCTGTTCTGCAACTGACAAAGCAAAGAATAGGCTTCCCTCAATCTGAGTGAGGCCATGGCACAACATAGGCATTTTTCCCTTTTCAGGAGCCTGAGGGGGGGCTGGTGGTGCTGAGTGGAGGGGGCACCTCCGGCCGGATGGCATTCCTCATGTCGGTGAGTATCCTGAGCCCTGATGTTCCTTCCTCTGCCTCCTTGGGGTGGCCCTCAGGACCACAAAGCTCATCATAGCTAAGCTCCTAGGCGGACCCCTCTAGCCCTGGCTCCTTCTTTTCCAAAAGCTAGACCTCGCCCCATATGGAGCCCCATATCTTCTGTCTCTACAGCCCATGCACCCCCAATCAATCGTCTGCAAGTAGCATTTTAAGTGCCAGATTCCAGGCCGTACTCGCACCGGCCTGACAGAATCCTTATGTAGTCTTTACCCTCTAGGTGTTGAAAATCCAAGCTAATGGCTCCTTTACTATCATTACTACTTCATGTCCTTTCCCCCTTAGGTCTCCTTTAACCAGCTGATGAAAGGTTTAGGACAGAAACCTCTTTATACCTATCTCATTGCAGGAGGTGACAGGTAAGCCAAATTGGTCTATGAGTATTTTGTTTGGCCTGGATAGTGTTTTTTAGAAATTTAATTTAATTTTTTACTTTTTTAGAAATTTAATTTTAAGGCTTTTAGATGGAGAGTGTATCTAGTTTGCTTTGGTCCCCATCATTTCTTATTGCCTTACACTTATTGCCTTCACATACTTATATGACTTGCCCTTGTAAGTATTTGAGTTTTCAGCCCTATAGAGTATCTATTATGGTGCCTAGCGAATAGTAGGTGTTCAGTCAATGATAGCTTTCCCTTCATTCCCTTTTCTCAAAGCAGCCTGCCCTGATATACCATAGGCTTCTGCTTCCAAACCAGTGCCACTGACCTTGAATCTGTCCTTTTAGGTCTGTGGTGGCATCTAGGGAGGGGACAGAAGATAGTGCTCTGCATGGGATTGAGGAACTGAAGAAGGTCTGTGTCTTCCACTCAGAGTCAACCAGAGACCTCTGTTCCTTGCCATAATGACACGAAAGCCCCTATCCAGCCAAAGGCCATTCCTTCCCCCTGCTCCCCACCCCAGTCCTGACCCTGACATCCCCACATGAGAGGTTTGCATCCTAGAATCCTCCTGGTGGCACTGCTTCACCCATTCTCCTCTCCTAGGTGGCTGCTGGGAAGAAGAGGGTGATTGTCATTGGCATTTCGGTGGGACTCTCTGTGAGTGTGAAGACAGACTGGGTGGATCTATCCTATGGGGAGAAAGGAAGTGGGAATAGAATAGCATGGAAAATAGATTGATGCAATGCATGCTAGAAAACAGAAAGAGTTTGCATAAGGAATTTTGATTTTACTCTCACTAATTAAGATCCAGTTGTAGGAATGTGGGATAATGGGGAAAGGATTCTATTTCAGAATAACTGTGTATCAATCTATTCAATAACCAAGATAGATGGACTAGTCCCAGGGTCAGCAAACTACACTGTCAGGTCAATCCTGCCACTGCTTGTTTTTGTAAATAAAGTTTTATTGAAACACAGACATTTGTGTTTACATAATATCTATGGCCACTTCACCCTACAATGGTAGGGTTGAGTATTGCACAGAGATTGTAATACCCACAAAGCCTAAAACACTTACGCTCTTGCTCTTTACAGAAAACGCTGACCCCTGGACCAGTCTCTTGCTACTTAAGTATGTCTTTGCGCAGCAACATCAGTATCTCCTGGGATTTGCTAGAAATGCAGAATCTCAGGCCCCAGACCTACTGTGTCTGACTCTGCATTTTAACAAGATTCCCAGGTAGTCTGTTTGAGAAGCACTGGACTAGAATGACCCACATTTTCCCTCACAACTGCAGCCCTTTAATTCCAACAACTCACTAAACAGAAACAAGTCCAGCAATGCTAGATATGGAAGGAGGCACACAAGGAGGGCAGGACACTGACCTTAAGGAGCATACAATTTAGTTTAGTGGCTCTCAAACTTTACTGTGCAGAGGACATCGTTGGGGGATCTTGTTAAAACTACAGGCCCTGGGCTTTCCCTCCAAATGTGGATCCAGCAGATCTTAACTGGGCCTGGGAATATGCATTTCTAACATGCATTCTGGGGGATTATGATGCACATGGGCCTTGGGCAACCTGGAGTAACCCCTCTCATCATGCCTTTTTTTTCTCTTCCTACTGTCAGGCTCCCTTTGTGGCAGGCCAGATGGACTACTGCATGGATAATCCAACGATCTTCTTGCCAGTCCTGGTTGGTTTCAACCCCGTGAACATGGCCAGGTGAGCCTTCTGTAATGAAAGGTGGTGACTGGCCAGACCCCCGCGGGGGTGGGGGGTGGGGGAGGCGGAGAGGAAACCTGTCAAAATCTACAAAGGAGAGGGTGTGGCAGATATGGTCTTATTCAGCACATCTCAGAGTATTAAGGTAAATATAGCCTGTCCCTAAGCTCATGAATTTTGTTTTGTGTTTTTGGTCAGTTGGTTGATTTATTCTCTTATTTCAGAAAGGATTAAAAGCAGCTTACTTTTATAAACCACATAAAATACAAGAAAGCATACACTCAAAACAGGGAATGAAGAGACAAGTAAAATAAGGGCTGGAAGATAGAATAAGGTCAGGAAAAGGAGTACCACGAAGATCTGTACTTTCTTTCAAGTGTCTTTTCATAGGAACCATGGGTGCTGACTCCCCTTTGCCCAGCTCCTTTATTTTAGCACCCATTCTCTTTTGTCATTCTAGGCACCCCTTCTGTCCCCTCTGGCTACTCAAATCCTTCACCCGGGTTCCCCTTTCCTGAGAACTCTGCCGCAGATTACCTTCCTCTTATTCTGTAGGTAAATGGTCACTTTGATCTCAGAGAAGGCCAGCATAGGAAACCAGTAGTGTTCAGGTGTGGTTCTGTGAATGTGCTACCTTGGGAGTGTTAAAGCAGTAAGAAAGTGGATTCTTAGCCCCTTGTATGAGAGAAGAGCTCTGATGTTGTCGGTTTGGGGTAAGACCCTGAAATATCTGTTTTTTTTTTTTTTTTTTTTTTTTAAATATCCCTGTGGATTGGGCACACAAGCAGGTTTGGGGAACTCTGCTAAATTAGCCTTTGGAGTGGACCCCCTGATGAAGCTGAAGGCTTGTTGATTCCTCAAAAGCAGCTTTGCACATTCAACAGGGGTCTTGGGAGGGAGGGACAGCTAGGTTCTTTCTGAGGCCCTTTCCTCAACTCCCAGATTCCAGGCTTCTAGTGTAATTCGTATGAACATATAAATGAGTCTGAGATACTTTTAACCCTGATCCTTTTAATGGAGGACTCTCCTTCACCAAAAATGTGTCTGCGGCAGTGGATGCTAATTTCAGGCACTGTGACTAAGTGAAATGAAGGATTTCAAACAATGTAGGCGTGGAGATCTTCCAGTTGTTCCTTAAGTCAGTGGTTCCCAAACTTGGCTGATCTTCAGAGTCGTCTGGGAAGCATTTTAAAAATACAGCTCTTTGGGCTCCTCTCCAGGCCTCCTGAAGCTGACTCTCGGGTGGGCGTGGTACCCAGTGATGGATAGTTGAAAAAACAAACCAACAAACAAAACTCTCCAGGTGATTTTGACGACCAGCCAAGTCTGAGAACCTCCGTTTTACACCACACAGTGAACACTGTCTCCTCTCTCTGGGAGAGGAGTTTCAGAAGTAGTTTGAGGACAAAGGATAGGAAACCCTTTCCACCATGGGTATGTAATACGTGAAGCCTGCTTGCCCTTGAAGAAATACAGATGAAAAAATGTAAAACTAGTTCAAGAAGGGGTAGAGCTTTTGCAGGGATGGGATGATAAGGGGAGGTTTAGGGAGGCCTCAGAGGTAACTCCTTGAGTTCCTGCCGCAGTGGGTGATTCGCTAGCTACCCCCTAGCAGAGTTGACGAGCAGAGGTCAACTACAGAAGATCATCAACTACTAAAGATCGCCATTCTTCGAGATTCCATGGTCGCGCCTATGCAAGCAGCAAGATTGTTACTCTCTTGTCCCACTAGCACATTGTTTTGTTCAGGATTCATTTATTCAAGGAATGTTTGCCAGCTGTTAGGTGCTCTGCTTCATACCTTGCAGTTTGGTTCATTCAGTAGGAACTGTTGTCTGATCCCTCAGGTAGGGAGATTTCCAGAATATATTTCTGAGAATGGGAAGGGCTTCTGATGGACCCTAAGACAGAAAAAAAGTGACAATTTTGACATTCTGATGATAGGGACTCTTCCAGTGGGCTACAGAGAGTGTGGGGACCATGGCCATGGCTGTGGGACCTGTGCAAGGACCAGGATACAAGAAAGTTCTGGTCTCAGGCTGGAGCTTTAAATTTGAGAGTTGGCTCTGCTCTGGGATTAAATCACTGAATGTTTTACCAGCCCTTGTCCTTGGGGTTCAGGGACACAGTGCTCCTAAGAGCCTCAAAGCACATCTCTCTAGGAGGTGGTTGTCCTTGGGCCCTAACCCCAATGTGGTCTTTGATCCTGACTCCCATCTGAGGCCCTTCCTTTAGATCCTCACAGACAATCTTCCCACCTCTGTCTCTCTGTGGGCCCCAGAAATGACCCCATTGAAGACTGGAGTTCAACATTCCGACAAATAGCAGAACGGATGCAGAGACTGCAAGAGAAACAGGAAGCTTTTGTGCTCAATCCTGCAATTGGGGTAGGATCCTCCCCACTCCCACCTAGCAAATGCTTGCCACTTCCCAAATGCCTCCAGTTTTAGGTTGTTACATCTTGTCTGAATTCCTGGCATTGTGTGTCAACTAGTGTCGCAAAGCAAATCCTACTTTCCCCTTTCCTTGTTCACCTTAAGATGTATTTCCATCCTGACCCTGTCTCTTAAATCAGTCATCATCAAACACCTAAGCCATCTAGGGCAGTTTCCTGTTGGAAGAACCTCTTTTGCATCTATAAGTAGAATGCGTTGCATGGAATGGTGCGTTACTTTCTGATCCTTTTGTGTTTTAATTTCAAACATGGGATTAAAAACAATGGGATTCAGTTTCATTCCTCTGCTTTCTAATCGTCTCCAAAACTGGGCGGGTCTTCCAAGCCGCCTGTGCTCCTGTGCCTTTTTCTCTGCATGGAGGATGCATGGCCCTGGCATCGTCTACACTCACTTTGACTTGGCAAGAGCCTTGGCTGAATCCCCGTCGCTACCCCTCTCTGCCTGTGATGGGTACAGCTGTGACATTCTCCTTGCTCTTCCCTTGGTGAGAGAGAAAGGCAGGAACCCCGCATTACATGGGAGTGCCCTATCTTTCATCTCTCAGGCCTTCTCTTCCCTCCTGTCTGCAGTTGTGTACCTTTAATCTCCTTTTCTCAGACACCGCCTTTGTCCTGCTTTTTGCAATAATCTCTTTATGTTTGGTGGGTCGTGTTACATACCTGGACCATTACAATGGCCGCTTCATTGATCTGTCCCAGGAACATGCAATGTGGTGTTTGGATTGACAAACCGCTATTTAAAAAATGGGAGTTGGGTGGGGAGAAAGTTCTTGGAGAAAAAGAAAAAAACCGTCACTGAAAAATGCTTATCTCCCGCTAGCAGTACATCCGATCCCCGTGGCTTCCTCCTCAGAGTCCTGAATGTACCATAGAAATGACCAGAGGTGGCCCTTACCCTCTCTCTTCTTCTCTCAGTTAAGCCCTGAACCCAGCACTCCTCATAGCATACTGGGCACCACCAGCGCTGCTGAATGCATGCCCAAGGGCCAGTAACCAGAGTGCATGCCTGGGAGTCACTAACCAGACAGTGTGCCCAGTGATCACTAACTAGTGAGCTCCAGGATCCTCTCTCCTCCCCCAATTCCTCCTGGGTATCCTCACCTCCTCAGCCCGAGGGCCTCAGTGGCTCATCCCGGATGAAAGGTGGAAGCGCTACCAAGATCTTGTTGGAAACCCTGTTACTGGCAGCACACAAGACCGTGGACCGGGGCATTGCAGCATCTCAGAGGTAGGGAAGATCAGACAAGAGAAAGATCAGAGTCAGGCAGGGAGCGGGACGGTACAGGTTGGGGGATGGCAAGTCCAGACTCCGAGACTGGTTAGTGGCAGCAAGACTGAGGCGCCACCGCACCTCCCATGGGAAAAGAGCTGGTCTGGGGGTGCCGCTGTGCCCACCACACAGTCACAGAGTCTCGATTGTTTCCAGTGAACCCTGGATTCCTCAGGGCCCACTGATCAATGGGCCCACCTAGGACACTTAATCCCTGAGCCCCCCAGGGATATCCAAAACTAACGTAGCTTCAGAGAGTCTGTAACTTAGAGATGGTCCAGGTCAGGCAGGAAGGGCTCATTCTGCTGGAGGCTTGCTTCCCTCACCAGGGTTTCTGGCCTGACTTCCAGACTCCCCACCTACCTCCTCACCAACTCTGATCCCATCCTCTCCCCACTGCTCTCTTCACGTCCTGTCCCTCTGTCTGCTCTTTGTTTTCTGCTCACTGAAGCTTTTCTGCCTTCTGGAATGCTCTCTGGGTCTACTCACTGTACCTCCATGAGGGGCCAGCGGAACTTAGTTTCAAGGGAATTGTGCCTTCCTCTGGGCAGGGGTGGGTACTCATGCTTTCTGAGAGGGCACTGGGCCCACCCTGGGAAGTGCTGGCCTCTCTCCCAGACACCTTCTGGAAATCCTGCGGACATTTGAGCGGGCTCATCAGGTGACCTATAGCCAAAGCCCGAAGATCGCTGCCCTGATGAAGCAAGCCAGCACCAGGTGTGTGGAAATGTGTTTGGAGGGGGAAGGTGGCATGGAACGGGAATGTCCTTAGAACACATGTTAACATGGTGAGGGTAGCAGATCTGCATGGTGGAGGGTCTTGGCAGGCTGTTTACTCCTGTGCTCTGACATATGTATCTTTCTCTGATCCCTGACTTTTTTTTCCCCCCATGATCTGTCTGGCCCATTCTCAGCCTAAAGAAAAAAGGCCGAGTGTACCTGGTTGGTTGGCAGACCCTCGGCATCATCGCCATCATGGATGGAGTGGAGTGCATCCACACCTTTGGTGCTGGTGGGACCCAAGTCCAGACTTTCTTCCTGGTTCCTCCTGATGCAAACCAATTTGTCTGCTATTGAAACACTTCCCTACTCCCAACCCATGAGGGTTCCTCATTCAATGTCCATTCTTTTCTATCTGAATACGCATTTCAGTCAAACGCTCTTTCCTTTGAATCCCTACTCTGGCCTTGGTCCCTCAACCCCCAGCCCTGCTTAACTATGACCTCCCATGCGTGGTACAGCTCACCCTACCTCCCACTTGCCACTTTCCTCCAAGCCCCATTAATACCTACCCCACTCCCCAATCCGAGAACCTTTCTTCACCATAAAGCCCATTTACTCCTCTCTCCCTGTCCTTAAACTTTCCAGATTTCCAAGATGTCCGTGGTTTTCTCATTGGTGATCACAGTGATATGTTTAACCAGAAGGCTGAGCTCATCAACCAGGTGGGAGGATGATGGGATGTGGGGGAGGTTGTGAAGGTGACTGGTGAGCAGGGAGTGGCAGGTAAGGGGCGGTGGAGACAAAGTGGGGAGAACAAGAGGGTAGTCATCCAGAGAAGGGAATATGGGTTAGAGGTCAGGAGCCTTTGGGGAAGCACAGGGAGGGTGGAAGTCTCTGGATTCACCCTCTAAAGCTGTCTCTAGTCCCATGCTCTTCCCTCAACTTGCTGCATCATCTTGGGCAAAACACTACCTCCTTGAACCTCAGTGCTTTCATCTGTATACAAAAACGCTGTATTAGAGGTCCTCGGAGGCTGTCTGCAGTCTCCAAGCCAATGTGCTGAGTTTTTCATGGGGGGACTCTCATCTTCTTCTGCCCAGGGTCCCCAGTTCTCCTTCTCCCAGGAGGACTTCCTGACTTCCATCTTGCCATCCCTCACTGAAATCGACACTGTGGTCTTCATTTTTACCCTGGATGGTGAGAGGGAAGATGGGAGTGGTGGGGTGAGCCGATGGAGGCAGTGGAGAGACTCAGAGGGACTGTCATTTTCCTGGGTCTTAAGGCACCTGCTCAGAGGGAGGGACAGGGGCCTCTGTCCTGACTGGATCCCAGGAGAACAGGAAGAACAGCTGAACAGCCAGCCTTTCAGCTCCAGTGCTCTCCCCTTCCAGACAACCTCACGGAGGTGCAGACGCTGGTGGAGCAGGTGAAAAAGAAGACTGCTAACATCCAGGCCTTGGCACATAGCACTGTGGGCCAGTCCCTGCCGGTGAGGACCCAGCCTTCAGAAGGGAACCTTGGGTGGCAGTTACAGCAAGGTCTTCCTGGAGATGCCTCTTCTGTTCCTCCTTCTCTTTCTCCAGAGCTCACTGAAGAAACTCTTCCCCTCCATCTTCAGTATCACGTGGCCACTGCTTTTCTTTGAATACGAAGGGAACTTTATCCAGGTATGGAGCATGAGAAAGTGTTATCTGCCGTAAAGAACTCAGAGGAGGAGGGATTCCAGAAATGGGAAAACTCAAGGCTGGAGGGTAGAAAGCTTTGTTGGACTTTCACCAAGCCAGCTGGCAAGTGCTTGTGCTACCAGGCCCCTGGTCAGGGTTTCCAATTCTTTCCAGAAATATGCAAAAAAGAAAATGCAAAAGAGGCCAGACCACCAATCACCTGACAGATACTCATTGGTCTTTTATTACAGGTTCTTTGTCAATACTATAGTCATCCTCACTATGCAAAATTCTTTATGGCATAGGCTTGCGAGTTGACTATGCTGAATTCACTGCAGACAATATATATTACACTGATATGGCTCCTGCTTACCAATAAAATTAGGATCCAGTACACACATTGATGATAATCACAGAAATAATAATCACCCTGGGTGCACTCTGCAGTGTAGAGTTTGGAGTGGACATCAGGACACCTGGGTGTCAGTTTAGCTGTGCCTTGTGGCCCAAGAAAGAAAGCAGTTTTACGTCTCTGGTCCTCAGTTTTCTCACTCAACACCTGTTCACCATCCACAGGGCCCAACGAGAGCCCTGAGGGGTTGCCCTAGAGAGCTGTGGTCTGATCCATTATCCAGACCACCTCCTCAAGGAAGCTTCCTATCTTGAGCAGACAAGAGCTGGCATGTTGCCTTACCTGTACTCAGAACTCACCAGAAGACCCTCTCCCTCTGAGCCAAGAGATCCATGCTCCTTCCAACATGTCTTCCCTTCCAAATGCTCTTCATTTGTCACATCTTCCCTTTTCGGCATACCTTCCAAATTGTTCCCTTTGAGATCTCACATCTTGTAAGAAATCTTCTCTGATTAAACCCGCATTGTCTAGGCCCCTCCTTTATGTGATGTACTCGCCACACTTAAGGTTTTATTGTACAATCTTCATACCTAATATACATGTAGGCCTCTGCACTTTCATTTATAATATTATTTCATTTGTAATTTCAGTTCTCTTAACAATCTCCTAAAGGATATATATTTAACATCCCCCATGTCTCAGATAAGGAAGCTAAAACTGAGAGAGATGAAGGGATGTAATGATGGCCACACAGCTAAAGCAGGAGTCAGGATTGGAACTGGCCTTGCGATTCTAAATCCGTGCTTGATTTCGCTGTACAAGATAAACTTCAACCACATCCATGAGTTGAGCCAGATTCTTTTATTATTCATTCAACAAATATTTTTTATACACCTATCACATACCAGCTACTGTTCCCGGGATAGGGGATACAGGAGGGAGTGTTAACCTGTGATCTTTTGAAAAAGATCTGTGTTTTTGAAGAAAATTGTAATTACAATAGCAATATTTTTATTGTAAAATTTTTAGAAAAGACAGAAATCAAAAGAAGGAAAAAAGTGTCCATAACAGCCTTCTTCTAAAAAGCCACTCAGACTTTTTTTTATGCAAACATAAGTATATTCATACAAAAATAGGACCATATTTGCTGTGCTGTGTTTAACTTGCTTCTCCTCATTGAAAATTATGAACACCTTTCTGCACAATTATATCCACATCACCATTTTTAATGTCGATGTAGTCTCCCGCGGTATGGATATACCATAATTTGTTCACTCTTCCCTCCATTGTTAGACATTGTAGATAGTTTTAGTATCATGGCTTTAATCAAAATACTGCCCTGAACATCCTTCTACATGTATTTGACTATTTCGTGGGGATAAGCCCTGGGATGAACCTCAAAAGTAGAATCACTGGGTCAAAATGTGTGTAAAATTTTAAGGCTTTTTAAAAAGTTTTTTAATTAAAAAAGAGAGAGAGGGAGAGGGAGAGCAGGAGCAGAGGAGGGTCGGAGAGGGAGGGAGACACAGAATCTGAAGCAGGCTTGATATGGGCCTTCACGAGACTCCATGGGGCTCCAGTTCAGATCATGACCTGAGCCGAAGTCAGATGCTTAACCAACTGAGCCACCCAGGCGCCCCAAGGCTTTTGGATACAGGTTGTCAAAGTGACCTAAAAGGTTTATAAACAAAGTATAAAATTGCTTGTTCCCCCAAACCTGTCCACTATTGGGTAGCATTGTTCTTTTTAATCTTCGCTAATCAGCAAAGCAAACAAAGTGAAACAAAACAAAAAGAACTTCAGTGTTGTTTTCATTCATATTCCTGGGAATATGGAAACTGGCTACTTTAAAGATAAAGGGGCTCCTGGGTGACTTAGTCATTTGAGCTTCTGACTCTTGATTTGGGCTGGGGTCATGATCTCATGGTTCTAGGTTCTAGACCCGAGTCAGGCTCTGTGCTGCCGGTGGGGATCCTGCTTGGGATTCTCTCTCTCTCTCTCTCTCTCTCTCTCTCTCTCTTACTCTCACTCTCTCTCTCTCTCTCTGTCCTTCCCTGCTTGCTCTCTGTCTCTCTGTCTCTCTCTCAAAAAAATGTATATATTGGCCATTGAATTTTTTTCTTTATTGAATTACTTCTTCATACTTTTTGAGAATATTCACCCATTCTTGTTTTTTAATTTTTTAATGTTTTATTTATTTCTGAGAGAGAGAGAGAGAAAGTGAGAAAGAGAGAGCAGGGGAGAGTCAGAAAGAGAGAGGGAGATACAGAATCTGAAACAGGCTCCAGGCTCTGAGCTGGCAGTCAGCACAGAGCCCAATGTGGGGCTTGAACCCGCGAACCGTGAGATCATGACCTGAGCAGAAGTCAGAGGCTTAACCGACTGAGCCACCCAGGCGCCCCAAGAATATTCACCCATTCTTTTAGAAGTGTTTATCTTTCTTTTTTTTAATTTTTAAAAATGTTTTATTTATTGCTGAAAGAGAGAGAGAGAGAGAGCGTGAGCAGGGGAGGGTCAGAGAGAGAGGGAGAGACAGAATCCAAAACAGGCTCCAGGCCCTGAGCTAGCTGTCAGCACAGAGACCGACGAGGGGCTTGAACCCACGAACCATGAGATCATGACCTGAGCTGAAGTTGGCTGCTTAACCAAGTGAGCCACCCAGGTGCCCCATATCTTTCTTACTAATTCTAAGAGGGAGTGTATATAGCAAGGACAGTAGCCGTTTTTTCTTGTTCTATATTTTCTAGTTTATTACTGTTTTTGACGTAGAGATGATTTACATTTTTAGATAATCACATTTATTAATCTTTTATTTGTCTATGGCTTCTGTCTTTTGCTTGATTCCAGTTTGTATCTTTCTAAATGTACAGCAATTGTTTGAAATAAGGAGGTTTCCATTAGTAAATCTTTAGTTGCTGAAATATTTTTGATGTAAACTCCCACACATTTTTTTCCTCCCACACTTTTGAAAATTTTCCACCCTACAGAAAAATTGCAAAAATAGAACAGTGAACACCCATGCACTTTTCCCTAGATTAACCGATCTTTAACATTTCCACATCTGTCTCATCCCTCTTTTCCTCTGAATTGTTGAAAGATACTTGGAGAAATGATGACAGTTGACATAAATTATTGTGTCCCCTATGAACAAGGACATTTGCATACATAACTGCAATATAATTATCACACTCCGGAAAATGACAGTGAATACTATTATCTAACATGCAGACCATATTAAAATTTTCCCAGTTAGCCCTGTTTTATTTTTATTTCCAGGCCTAGGGTTCAATCAAAGATAATGCATTGCATTTAGTTATCAGGCCTCCTTAGTTTCCTTTAATTTAGGTGAGTTCTTTTGCTGCTTTTTATGCCCCTTATGACATTGATGGTATAGAAATCTGGACCAATTTGATTTTAGAAAGTGCTTCGCCTTGGATGTGCCTGATTGTTTCTTCATTATATTCAGGTGAAGTTTTTTGGCAGGCTTACTCCATAGATAAGGGCATCCTTTATCAGCGCATCACATTAGGAGGCACCTGATATCAGTTAGTCCCTTTATTGGTGATGTTATGTTTGATCACTTACTCAAGGTTGTATCAGATTTCTTGGTAGCCTGTTCCTTAGCAGTCTCTCACCCAATGGTCTTAGCATGCACTGATGATTCTTGGTAGAATCAATTTATTACTATGGTGGTTTTAAAATGGTTATTTTCTATTTCTGTCCTTTCTACATTTATTAGTTGACATTTTCTGGAAAGAAAATCTTTCTCTTCTCTTCCCACCCATCTGTATTTGTTTACACTCGGTATGGACTCATTAATTTTTTGTTGTTGTTAAATTGTTTTAATCTATTCCTGTCATTATTGATTTTAATGTTCAAAATGAGAGTTTATTCAAGCTGGCCCCTGTCCTCCTTGTGACATATCCACATTAGTGTTTGAACACTCTTTGCTGTGTTTCCTTTTTTAAAAAACATTTTTTGTTTACTTATTTTTGAGAGAGAGGGAGAGACAGAATGGGAGTGGGGGAGGGGCAGAGAGAGAGGGAGACACAGAATCGGAAGCAGGTTCCAGGCTCTGAGACGTCAGCACAGAGCCCCACGCAGGGCTCAAACTCACAAACCGCGAGATCATGACCTGAGCTGAAGTCGAACACTTTAACCAACTGAGCCACCCAGGCGCCCCATCTGTTTCTTTTTGGAAAAAAAAATTTAACTTTTCTGTTATGCAAAGTGTACCATATTATAGTCTTTTATGCCTTGTGTTTTTGCTTAACAAGATATCTTGGAAATCACTTCAGTTTCTAAATCTCTTAATTATTATTTACGTGTGTGTGTACAATTGTGTACCCACTCATCTATGTAGGAGTACAGAAATGCTCCAGGCTCATCTTGCACTTTCCTTGGCTCCAGCCCTGACTGGAATCAGTAATTTTCAAGGAGCCCTGGTGGTTGTCAGTGGGAATCAGCACAGCAGTCCCCCATTCTCCACGGTTTTGCTTTTCACGGTTTCCTTTACTCCAATCAACTAACGATTCACGATTCAGAAGCAGATGATCCGCCTGATGGATTGCTAGGAGGTCAGTAGTATCCTAACGCTACGTCAAAATGCCTGTATCATTCCCCTCCCTCCATCTCATCATGTAGCCATTTC